TGTGTCTGGATGTGGATGGAGATTACATTTTACAGCAGCCTGATCATCATTTAAATACGTAAACCTCACCTGTCTTCTAGTCCACGCTATCAGCATTATTTTAATTGGTGTGTGTGTGTGTGTGTGTGTGTGTGTGTGTATGTGTGTGTTTGTGTGTGTGTGTGTTTTCCACTTCAAACACTGGTCTAACCAACCAGACCAGTGTGTCCAGTAACATATTAATGTTACACTTCGTGTAGGCTAGGAACATTTCACCTGCCGTGGCCCGACCGCTTCTGCTCCACATAAACTTTGTGCGTAATCAAATGTCTCTACAGGAGCTTTATGAGCTGAAGAGGCTATTCTGCCTCAGACTGGATGCGTAATGCGTCTCCATATTAGAGACGGGAACAAGCGCTGTTCAGCCAAAGTTTCATAATTTCATAAAAAGAACATTTTTCCAAGTGACACATCCCTCAGAGAGACCGGGTTTCCAGACCGCTTCAGTGGGAGGAAATCATCGCATGCGTCGTGGTTCTGCACTGCGCTGCGAACCCCTCAGATCTTCAGCCCACTGTCCACCGTGGGCGCTCCAAGCCGCGCTGAACACAGTGTCCAGTATAAAGCTCTGATGTTCTGATGGGAATCAAGTTACCTCTGCGATGTGCGTAACGATAAAAATGTCAGCTCATCCATGCGCATCAGTGTGCGTTGGGGTAATTCTTTCAAAACAACCAACATCCTTGAGTTTATCCGTCAATATGTGGCAAGGTGGAGAAATGAGGGCCCGGGCAGGATTCGATCCCCAGACTCCCGGGTGCGAGTCATACGCTCTAACCAGTCAGCCAAAGGGACATCCCCTTGGCTAAATAGCCAGGGCGCATTATCTATCGGGACACTGTGACAGGACACACACTGCCACACCTGATTATGAAACTTTGGCTGAATAGCGCTTGTTCCTGTCTCCAATGTGGCGACGCATCCAGGAACCTGTCTGAGGAGAAGCCCAGAATCTGACATCCTCATCAGCTCAGGAAGCGCATATGATTACGCACAAGCGTGACGCGTCAACCCGGCCTCACAGTAAGACCGGGTTGGACCTGTTCAGGTTTACGCAGACAATCTTTACATTTAGAATTGGCATACAGATGTAAAATTAATGCAGTAAAATATAAAGCTTTTTATTTAAATATCCATTTATTATTTTACAAACACAGAGAGCCGCATCAGATGGATGGAAGAGCCACATGCGGCTCCAGAGCCGCCGACCCCTGTGCTAGCCTACTTTATTGTCCCCAGCAATTTTTAAACCCCACTCAAGTGTATGGTTATTGTCCCCAGCAATTCTGAAAACAAACTGACGCCCTTGTGAGAGAGACCTCCTGAAGAGTTGCAGAAACTCACAAAGAATCACAGATGTTTCTCACTCTAGATTCTCCGGGTCATAACTTCTGAATTACTAATCGAATAAAAATACTTCAAACAGTTTCTAAAAGTACATAAAACGAGCTTTTCAACGAGGTATTACATGATGTAATTCATGTTACTCCAAAAATCGCTATTAGAAGGAAACCAGCTTTGCAGCGTCACAGAAAGAAACGGAGCGGACCGCGACGGGAGAGCAGAGAACCGAAAGAAGGAGACAGTCTGATCATCTTCATCAGCAGCTTTTATAAAGTTATGGAAACGTCACAAATCAATTCCACCTGGTTGGTCAGGTGTCCCAGAAGGCTGTTTCTGTAGATGGTGACATGAGGAGGGACAGATTACAGTCACACTGGTTTTTATTTGAACACTCAACTGTTTACTAAATGATTCAGCTTCATTCCAGCATCATTTATACGTACATTAAATATTTATTTAGCTGAAAATATAATGTTATCAGTGCATAATTTTTTTAGTTAACTTTTTGTAATGAATTGTTTACATTATCCATTTATCTGCTTATTGATCTTCATAATGCTGGTAGAAGTGTAGCTCCAGCTGTGAAGTAGCCCATGAGTGTTATTTTATGATACCTAGTATTTATTTTACTGTATCCCGTTCTCTGGACCAGAGCGTAGACCTGTGGTCACAGACAGGCTGCAGTCATTAAACTGGTTAACATGAGGTCAGGGGTCACACTGTTTTCAGAGTGTTTGCAACACAGTTCTGAGTTTAAATAGTTCTTTTGCCATAGTTAGCTCAAGTCATTTTGAAGTACCTGTTTAGTAATAAATGTAAAGAAAATTCAAATCAGTTTTTTTTTCATTTAAGCTGCAGTTTTACAGACTTTAATAAACATAAACACTAAATACAAACTAGACACTGAAAGCTGAGGTTGTTCTGAAAAAAGGAGCAGAGTTACAAACATTTTACACTTTTATTACAATTTTAAAGCCATAAAACAAAGAAAATACCTGTTATATTTATGGTCATAAGAGGGTTAAACGTGATAAATTTTCCGCCTCCCACAAAGAGATGGTAAAAGTGAATGTGAGCATAATTATATACGTTTTATTACTTTATTATGTATTTTTTGTTATTGACTATTACTCCAAAGAGTTCAGATGAAGGCAACTGGACTTCTTTGGTTTCTTTAAAACATTTCACTTCTCCTCTGAGGAGCTTTGTCAGTTCTAACTGGAATATGGGAGAGTCAAGCTCATAAGCTGTAGCTGTCTGTTGTTATTTAAAGAGCGGAAACTACTCTGAGTACCCCGCCTCTCCATCTCCTGATGAGTCGTTAGCCTCTATTGATGGTGAGTCATCGTGTTGATTAGATGCAGGAAGGTGTGACCTAGACTGAAACTGAATGAGATTCAAAAAAAGTTCTAATCTTTTAAACAACGCTGTTGGTCCTCTTGGTCCTTGTTCTGGTTTTCTAAAACCCGGTGTTAAAAACCTTGGTGTGTTTTTAGATGGTTCTTTTAATCTTTACAGACAGGTGAGTGCAGTGGTCCAATCAGGTTTTTATCATTTAAGGCAGATAGCAAAGGTGAAGCCATACCTTCCTGCTAATGTCCTCGAACATGTCATCCACCTGTTCGTGTCTTGCCGATTGGACTACTGCAACTCCCTGTATTCTGGCCTGGACCAGTCCTCCCCACACCGACTTCAGCTGGTCCAAAATGCAGCGGCTCGCTTGCTGACTGGAACCAGCAAGTGGGATCACATAACCCCGGTTCTGGCCTCTCTCCATTGGCTTCCTGTCTCTTACAGGATCCGTTTCAAATTTTTACTTTTTGTTTTTAAATCCTTTCATGGCCTGGCCCCAGTTTACATCTCTGAGCTGCTGTCCGCTTACGTCCCTGCCAGAACCATGAGGTCCAGCTCTCAAGCTCTTTTAACTGTTCCAAAAACCCGCCACAAGACTCGCGGCGACAGAGCGTCCTCTGTGGTTGGGCCCAAACTGTGGAACAAGCTACCTCTCAACATCAGGACCACACAGAATCTAGAGCATTTTAAATCCCTTCTTAAGACGCAATTTTTTGATTTGGCTTTTAATGCAGGTTGACTTGAGCATCTTAATAGTTTTTAACAGTTTTTATCATAGATTGTGACTGTTGTGTGCTCATCTTATTTTAGGTTTTTATTGTTGATTTGCTGTATCTTGATTTGTTTTACCCTGTACAGCGCTTTGCTGCTGTAAATGTGCTCTGTAAGTAAAATTGACCTTGACCAAAGCTGCATTATTGGTACTGGAAAGGTGAAATCTAAGCCCCGCCCCTAATTAAAGTGGGGTTTTCACGTTTTTACATAGATAGCTTCTTTTACTCCTCTGTCAAATCATATATCTTCTCTGTCCAGAATGTGGACTTTGTCATCTTCAAAGGTGTGTCCCTTGTCCTTCAGGTGAAGGTGGACTGCAGAGTTTTGACCTGAAGAGGTGGCTCTCCTGTGTTGTGTTATGTTCTTGTGTAATTGTTGTTTAGTTTCTCTAATGTAAACATCTGGACAGTGCTCCTACACTGGACTGCATAAACTACCCCACTGAGCTTCTGTTTGGGTGTTTTGTCTTCTGGATGGACCAGGTTCTGTCTGAGGCTGTTGTTGGGTTTAACGTTTACCGGGATGATATGTTTGGAGAAGATTCTTCTAAGTTTCTCTGCGACTCCTGCCACGTATGTGATGATGGTGCCTTTGTGTAAAGGGTGTTGTTAGGTTGGTAGCAGAGCTCTCATGTTTAGTGTTAAGTTCAGTGAGATCATGGAATGGGATCAAGAATTTTCTACTGACAGGAAAAAGATCTCCGCTGACATAGCTGTAGATGGATAAGTCTCTGTGGTGCATTTATTTTACATTTATTTTACTACCTCTTACTAGAGCTGTCTTTAGTAAGCACAGAATATCTTTGGTTGTACACCTGTGCAATAGCAATAAAGTATCTTGATTTCTGTTAAATGTACTTCCTGAATGAGTGACCTTTTCAGGCTAAAATAACAAAATGACAAATACAGACAGAAGGATGACTTATTTCTTCTTTTATAATGTGTTGCATCACCACCTGGTATCAGAACAGGACTCGGTATTGGAAGATAATCAAAAATCAAACAACTTGGACTCAGATCAGGGGCAGAAATGTGGTTGTAACATCTCTAGATATAAGTCAGCTTTATAGACTAAAACTATTATTTATGAACTAACATTAACACTAATGACACTAATTTATATATTTTTATTATGTTGTTTGAACCCAAGGGTCTCATTATCTGAATTTTCTAACTTATTGGATTGCTCTATAAGTGCCCCTTTTTTTACTTTGAGCACCCGCCCCGTCAAAGTTCTCTGCACGGCCCTGGTGAAGAGAGTCAGATGCTTGTGTTTCACACTCAGTGTGTGAGAGTTGCAGCCGTACATATTAGTAACAATATGAATAGAAACACTAGACAGTGTTCATCTGCATCAGCAGCCTGTGCTCGTGGATTCAGTTCTATCATTCTGGAATCCAGGGCCACAAAAATCTCTCTGAGGACCACAAATGGCCCACGGAGCAGACTTTGGACTTGCTGAACTTTGAGACCTTGACACGATCCTTATCTCTAATGGCTGGCTGTAAAAGGTCTATGGCTGAGACTTTGGGTTGTTTATCAGTTCTCATCAGATGAAGAGGAAACCCAAATCGGTTGAGACTGGATCTAATGTGGACAGAAGAGAAGAAACAAACTAAAGTGTGTGAATCAGGTGAGTTGTTCTTGTTCTCCTGTCAGAGAGAACTTTCCTCTCTGGATCGTTGCTTTGATTCACCTTCAGATCAAACTGCTGCGTCACGTCTCACTGTCTCGCTTCCTGTTGGTTCTCACTAGAAAACACGCTCGCTGTTGTTTTCTTTAGTGGACAATCCCAGTCCGTCTAACTGGTTCTTCTCTGGCTCTGACTGACTGAAGAGGAAGATGGACGTTTATGCAGAAGAAGAGGAGAACAGAGCAGAACCTTCAGGATCCAGCTGTCCTCCTATGAAGAGCAGCTCCTCCCAGCCCAGACCACCAGACCTCAGTGGAGCAGAACCTCCAGGGCCCAGCTGTCTGTCTATGAAGAGTGATCGGTCCAGGGATATGCCTCCAGACCTCAGTGGGCCTGGACCTTCAGACCCAAAGTAAGAAACGTGTTGATGAAGCTGACTGACCTTCTTTAGGTTTCTCCTCTCTGATGTCCATCATCTAGAGAAGCTTTCATCTGACTTCAGTTACAAACATGAAACCTTCTGATTCTCTGCAGCAGTTTGTGTGTTCAGAGCTTCTGAGATGGTTTCATCAGATCTTCTCACTGACTGATGTGATCTGAGTTACAACATGTTTGTGTTTCAGAGGTCAGAACCACAGATGGAGAGCAGAACCTCCAGGACCCAGCTGTCTGTCTGTGAAGAGTGACCGGTCCATGGATCCTCCTCTAAACCTCAGTGGACCTGGACCTTCAGACCCAATGTAAGAAAACAGTTTCTAACTGGTTCTTCTGACTCCTCAGACAGAAAAAGAGGATTTGTGGTAGAACTGATGAACTAGTGGAGCTCTGACCAAGTAGAGCAGGTGAACAAGCAGTTGTTATCAGAGCATCAGAACTTTTATTGTTTGGTCTGAAGATGTTTCTCCAGAATCACAGCAGGATGAATGTTTCATGTGAAAAGTCCCACATCTGGAGCTCTATGCAGGCTGTTTGCTGCCAACAAGAAGCTTCCAGAACATCAGGAAGAGTCCAGCTGGTGTACGGTGATGAAAAGAGGGCTGATCAGAGAGAGGAAGAGAAGTTCTGTTGGTGAGAAGGACCAGCTGTCCTGCTGTTTTTATTCCATTGAGGTTCTGCTGCAGCATTCAGATCTGCTCTGTGTCACATTTCTCAGCAGATGTTGGTCTGCAGGAGGTTCTAGAAGAACATCGGCTCAGTCTGAGGAGCAGATGTGAACGTGTGACTGAAGGAAGTGATGAACCAGGAAGTAGAACCCTCCTGAACAGGATCTACACTGAGCTCTACATCACAGAGGGACAGAGTGAAGAAGTTAATACCCAACACGAGGTGAGACAGCTGGAGACCACTTCCAGGACCAAGAGGCTCCATGATGCTCCAATCAGGTGCCAGGACATATTTAAAGCCTCACCTGATGAAGACGAAGACACAGACAATGACCAACATGAAGATAAAGTTAAAGCCATCAGAGTGGTTCTGACCAACGGCGTCGCAGGAGCTGGAAAAACCTTCTCAGTGCTGAAGTTCACTCTGGACTGGGCCGAGGGCTTGGAGAACCAGGATGTCCATGTGATGCTTCTGTTTTCATTCAGGGAGCTGAATTTGATCAGAGATGAGCAGCACAGTCTTCTCACGCTGCTCCATGTTTTCTATCCAACATTCCAGAAGCTCCCAGCAGAGAAGCTGGCTGTCTGGAAACTTCTCTTCATCTTTGATGGTCTGGATGAAAGCAGACTTTCACTGGACTTCAGCAGCAGTCAGCTGCTTTCTGAGGTCACACAGAGGTCATCAGTCCAGGTGCTGCTGACAAGCCTCATCAAGGGGAACCTGCTTCCCTCGGCTCTGGTCTGGATCACCTCCAGACCTGCAGCAGCCAATCAGATCCCTCCTTCATGTGTCCACAGGGTCACAGAAGTACGAGGCTTCACTGACTTGCAGAAGGAGGACTACTTCAGGAGGAGGTTCAGTGATGAAGAGCTGTCCAGCAGAATCATCTCCCACATCAAGACCTCCAGGAGCCTCCACATCATGTGTGGAATCCCAGTCTTCTGCTGGATCACTGCTACAGTTCTGGAGAACATGTTGTCTACAGAGCAGAGAGGAGAGCTGCCCAAGACCATGACTGACATGTACTCACACTTCCTGCTGGTTCAGACCAAGAGGAAGAAGAACAAGTACCATGAAGGACCTGAGACCAGTCCTCAGGAGCTGATGGAGGCTGACAGGGAGCTTCTTCTGAAGCTGGGGAAGCTGGCGTTTGAACATCTGGAGAAAGGAGACATCATGTTCTACCAAGAAGACCTGGAGCAGGCTGGTCTGGATGTCTCAGAGGCCTCGGTGTTCTCAGGAGTTTGTACAGAGATCTTCAGAAGAGAGTGTGTGATCTTCCAGAAACCAGTCTACTGCTTTGTTCATCTGAGCGTTCAGGAGTTTCTGGCTGCAGTCTACATGTTCCACTGCTTCAGCAGCAGGAACACGGAGGTGATGGAGAACTTCCTGGGAGGAGACTACAGAGACTCATCTCTGGAGAACTTCCTGAAGAGAGTGATGAAGAAATCTCTCAGCAGTGAAAACGGCCACTTGGACCTGTTTGTCCGCTTCCTTCATGGCCTCTCTGTGGAGTCCAACCAGAGACTCTTAGGAGGTCTGCTGGGTCAGACACAGATCAGTCCAGGAACCATCCAGAGGACCATCAACAACCTGAAGGAGATGAACAGTGATAGAGTCTCTCCAGACAGAAGCATCAACATCTTCCACTGTCTGATGGAGATGAAGGACCTCTCAGTTTATCAGCAGGTCCAAAACTTCCTGAAGTCAGAGAACAGATCAGAGGAACTCTCAGAGATCCAGTGTTCAGCTCTGGCCTACATGCTGCTGATGTCAGAGGAGGTTCTGGAGGAGTTGGACCTGCAGAAGTACAGCACATCACCACGGGGACGACTGAGACTGATTCCAGCTGTGAGGAACTGCAGAAAGTTCAGGTGAGTCCAGATGTTGTGATGATGATCATCAGTAGTTATTAGAGCTGCTGAGTTTAAACAGAAAATAAGTTTAGTGAATGAAAACGACAGAAAAGTGAATCAGAAGGTTTAGAGTCTGATTCTGGACAGATCATCTCTCTGCTGCCTCTTTCTGCATCAAAGCTTGTTGAGTCAGAACCTGGTTTGTTTGGTTCCTTTTTCAAGAACAAACAACCAACGCATCCCTGCTTTCTGATAGAGTGTGTCCACACACACACCTCACTGTTCCACACCAGAGCTCTGAGTCCCAGTCCTACTGGAGCTCTGATGGAGTAAAGCTGGACACCAGCAGCATGTTCCTGCATGTGCACGTGAAGAGGTGGAGCTGACGGGAACAGGAAGCTAAGAGATCATCTCTGTTCACTGAGCTGAACTCCGTCTAAAGGCTCTGAGCTCAGATGGAAACTAGAAAACAGTCCACGTGTTTTTCTACAGCAGACGTGTTGATTCTGACTCTGGATCAGATCCTGCTGACAGACTGTGGACATGATGGATGTTCCCTCCTTCATCTGCAGATTAAAGGTGTGAAAGAGACTGGACAGATTCACTGGCTCATGTCAGACAGTCAGATGGAGCAGATGAAGCACAGATGTGAAGAGCAGATGTTCATCTGATGATGACATCACTGTTTAGTCATCATCGGCTTTCAGGCTGTTTATCAGACAGATTCTCTGATTTTATTACAACTGACTTTAACTTTTCTCCATCACAGAGCTGCTGGTCCTGTTCCTGGTTCTGGACTCTCTGAGACTTACTGTGAAGTTGTGTCCTCAGCTCTGAAGTCCAACCCGTCCCATCTGACAGAACTGGACCTGAGTCAGAACCAGCTGTCTGATTCTGGAGTGAAGGTTCTGAGTTCTGGACTGGAGAGTCCAAACTGTAGACTGGAGGTTCTGAGGTCAGTTCTCTGCAGCTGTTGGAGGTTTTATGTGTTTGACCTTTAACCCCTTAACCCACATCTGCTCCAAATGCAACCAAAACAGCACATGTACCTGAGGGATCGTCCACAACCAAAGAAATGATTATTATGGGAACCATCTGTGCACAGCTCTCTCTGGCCTTGAATCAGGTAGAAAGAAATATCCTGTCTGTAAATCCCAGAAAGCTTCATTCACCACACTAATAAAGAAAGCATTAATCCCACGTGTCCATCAGAAGCTTTTCTCACTGGTAACAGACTCAGATTAGCTTGACTACAGGAGGCCATTAGGGGGCGCTGACACCAAGCCTGCACCTTTAGGGTGGCTCGTCCCCAAGAGACACACTGAAAGCATGGATCATGTATGAGCTCACCATGTTCAGGTCAACACACACCTGCTACTTTAATTACAGAGAAATGACATTAGATCATCTGGGATTAAAAGCAGGATGTGGCACAAGATCATGTTCAGAGGATTAGTTTCATTTGGTTTAAAGCAGCCATGACAGGCCTGTTGTTGCTGAGTAATAAAATATTCATTTAGTTTATTTAAATGTTCTGTAACACTTTACTTTAAAGGGTCCCTTTATTCATGCTGTTAGTGCATTATTAAGCATGAATAAACTATTGAATACAGTATTAACAACTGCTTCATATGAATGTTAACATGAAGTCATGCATTACTAAGCAGATAGCAGCACTGACACTCATCCCATACATGCAGCTGTTGTGTGTGTGTGTGTGTGTGTGTGTGTGTGTGTGTGTGTGTGTGTGTGTGTGTGTGTGTGTGTGTGTGTGTAACTGGGATCACTACTGAGTGGTTTAAGTACGTTTTTACTCACAATGCTAGCTGGTCCCATTCACTTACAGTGTTTTATGCTAAGCTAAAGCTAAAGGAGTACAGCCGGGTCAGGCGAACGACTGGGCTGGTCACAAATAGTTTTTTTCCCACTTATCTAACTCTGGGAAATATGTCAATACACAGCATTTAAATGTTGGGTGTAATATCCCTTTAAGGACAGTTAATGGTTAATATCAGGAACATTAATAAAGGGATCCTTGTTTATTAATGCTTAATAAAGCACCAAAATGTTTCTAAAGGGCCCCTATTGTAGTTCATGTTTCTGTTTTAACCTGTGTCCTGTTGACTTCAGCTCTCTGCTTTTATTCTTTATTCAGGTTGAAGTTCTGCAGGTTGTCAGAGATCAGCTGTTCTTCTCTGGGCTCAGCTCTGAAGTCCAACCCGTCCCATCTGACACAACTGGACCTGGGCCGGAACCACCTGTCTGGTTCTGGAATGAATGATCTCTGTGGTTTCCTGGAGAGTCCAGACTGTAGACTGGAGGTTCTGAGGTCAGTTCTCTGCAGCTGTTGGAGGTTTTCTGTGTTTAACCCTTTATAGGGCCAACGTCCATACACTTCCTCTCACATCATGTTCAGGTCAACACACATAAATGATGTCCGTGTGCTTTTTCACGAACTCTTAGAATTACGAGATTTCACCCAAACAATCATCAGAGATCAAGTTAGACACGGTTTGCGTCATGGCACCATTCCACCAATCAGGGCAGAGCTATAACAGGTCAACTGTTGGTGTGTCTGCAGAGCCAGAAAACTGCTGGTCTCCTCTCGTGTTTACGGTCAGATCTCTAAAACTAACAACGCTAGATTTATGAAAGTCTCACATCACCAGGTTGACTAGTTGTGCTCAATAAGGATACATGTGTTGTAAATGTTAAACTCAATAATGTTGGTGAAATCTCAGCATGAAAATCAAATCTGCCACACTTGTACACACGCCCTGAACAGGTTAAAGAAATTATGAATATTTTAGGTAAAATCTGTTGTTTTTAGACATAATCTTAATATTCTTGGTAACAGTAATAATAACAATTATGATATAAAATTCATTTAGCAGCTCTAAGCTAAGATTTCTCTGGAAAATGGAGGACAGTTATTGCACCAACCAATCTCACCATCAGTGATGATGATGAACAGGAGGAAGATGATGATGAGGCAGATCCTCACATATAAAATATTCTAAATTATTCTAATAATCTATATTAGATCAGAAATATTATCTATTGTTCAATAACATATCAAAATATTCCACATTAATATCATTTTGTAAAATATTCTATATTGTTTAATAATGATGTTTAATAATTAATAATGAGAACGGAGAAGGGGGCTCCCACCTGTCCTCAAGGGACATTCGCAGCGGGATATGCACTCGATTCTTGGGAGGTCTGGCGAATCGTGTGCCTCTCTCAGTTGTCCATCGAGGACGTGGAAGATTTGTGGATATTCGGCCTGATGATCACTGGATTTCTTCTGATTGGAGTGGGAGGATATCTGGTTTTCTGGAAATTTGGGAAGACGGGAGCGATTGGAGTGCGACCAGTACCCACGGAATGTGCCGCCCGTGGGGTGACCTCACAGACTGGGATGTTACTCGAGGTGAACCGTAAGCTGGACAATGTCCTCGCAGCGTTGCCTGTGTTAGTGTGCAAGATGGATGTCATCTCGGAGAGGGTCGCCGGATGGTGTGGGGATGTTTAGAATGTATAATTGGCTTCACTGGTGGACATGAATGATCACTTAATAGACTCCAAGGCAGAGAGGAAAATTATCTCTGTCTGCCCTAAACAAAGTCTTGTTTATCCTTATCTGACGCCAAGGCAGCCTCCAAAGCTGCCATCAACACACCCCCACGAAAGGAGGAATGCTGACAGATGCTGTGACCCGACCTTCGCCCCCTGCCTTAAGATTGGGACTTCTGCTTCGAGGTCATCAACCTGCAGGAAACTCAATGTGCTCTCTGTCCCTCATCGCTCCCTCCCACCTGTTTGACTGCAGCTGTGAGCGCCGTACACTGGCAGCTCCCGTTGGAGGATTCAGGACCCCCCCCTCCCCCCCCCTCCCTATCGGAGTCTGATGCTTTGTAACTGTGATGTTCGTGCTTCTATTTTGAGGAGTTTTTTGTATAATAGAGCTACTCCCTGCTGGGACTAACTCTGCTATGCCTTTTTTTACCTTACCCCAATTATCCTCATGTAACACCAGAGACATAATAAGATACCTTTCGTCAAACATTTTGACAGGTCTATTGTTCTTTGACCTTTTTGACCTTTCAGTCCTATTGTTCATTTTGACCCTTGACCTTGCCCCCCTTTCCTATCATTAATCAAATGGACAGGTGTATTGTTCAATCCATGCCCCCCCCTTCCCTATCATTAATCAAATGGACATGTGTATTGTTGATTGTCCAGATGGCTTAGACCCCCCACGCCGCATCATCAATGGCGTATTGTTGAACGTCCAGATGTCCATGATCCCCCACGTCATAGGCTAATGTGTGTAATGGCGCGTGAAGTTTCTTATTGTGTTACCCCAGTGGTTCACACAGCCCCCTCCCTTCTGAGTGTAATCCTATAGTGGATAACTCTTTAAAAGCTCAGATCGTGTCCGAATGGTGAAAAGCCGAGCTCTAAGAAAAAATGATGAACCACGAGGAGATGCATGAAGCACCAAGCCACGAGGAAGAGGTGTCTACTACATCCGACGCTTCAACTTCAACTCAAAAAGTGAAAGAAGAGAGCGTGGATACGCCGCTGTCAAAAACCATGCTTTGTGAAAAATCCATCGCTATACATCAGATGCCAGCTGGAATTGGAGCTCCCCGCAAATCTACATTCTACATCTGCAGAGTGCAGGTTCCTCCTTTCGGCGGTAAAGAGATCTTGGAGCAAATATGGCAGTTGGAACCTTACGGCTATACCGGTAGTTTTGGGTACCGGTTCAGCTACGACACTAAGGAACTGTGTTTAATCCAAGATGTGGCTGAGGGGGAACCTCTTAAATCCTATTTATCAAACTCACCAGCGGTTCTCTCCTACAACGACTGGGCTGTGCTCAGGCTGGCTGTTCCACGCAAGGTGTACAGAGATGATGATGAGAGACCTTGTCCGCCTGTCAATCGCAGCGGGCCGCAAGCTCTTCCAACGTTGGATGAAATCCAGAACGCTGTGACAGCATTCAGCGCTTCATGGGAGGGGGAAGAGGATGCTGATGGAGAGTGGATGTTCAAGGCCTCGGTCCGTGTGAGAGGATTTGAGCTCTTTTTTGTGCTGGAAAATGTGCATTCTGTATGCGGAATTTACCTCCTTCTACAGGTTGTACCTTTCGAAGCCTGGTGTGAAAAAATAAATGAAGTGGAGGATCGTATTACTTCACTTTTTCGTACCAACCGCTGTTGGAACGACATTCTGACAGTGCGAAAAAAGCTGGAGTTCTAAGACTTGCCTTAGGAGGAGGAGGATGTCGCATCATACCACGCCCCCCCACCCAGCACTAGTTATAAAGAGCTTACAGTTAGAAACCATTTCATCCAGACGATCTAAGGCATCAGCATGACGGGGTTCTACAATCAGACGACCCTTAAAGACCTTTGGAGCCCACCACCGAGCTGGGTACTAATGGATTCATCACCACCGAGATACAACACCAGTCCGAGGTCCAGATCGCTACCATCACCACCACCGCCGTGATACAACGGCAGTCCGAGGCCCGCATCGGCACCACCGTGTTTTCCAGAGGATAACCTACCACGACTCCCCACCATCATGGAGGTTCAGGAGAACGTACCATTCAGGCCCTGGGTCGACGGGGCTGATCCACCTTTGGTGACATCAAACCCTGAGCCGCCGCCAGGTCATGAGGAGGAGGAGGAGGAGGATGTGCAACCCCTCGACATCCAGAGCACCGATGAGGAGCCTCACCGTCTGCCTGACTGGGTGTTTTCAGAAGACAAAGTAGACCGTGTGAAAATGGGTCTTCTTCACTTGGTCAACATGGCGATCAAAGCTCACTTACCAACCATCTGCCACGGATGCAAGATCGATCACCCCAGTCAACGGCAACACGAATGTCTTTACGTAGCTGAAAATGAATTATTTTACGATTTTCACTTTATGGACATTATTCGCAGGGTTTTAACACCTAAACTGATTCCGGCTCTTCAAAATTTTCTCAGTCTGCACGGCTTCCAGCCTCTGGACACTGAGATTCTGTTCACCATGGCTGTGACGCAGCTGCACGGATTCAGGGCTGTGATGCCCATTCACAAAGACATTTTTCCGGTGTACGATCGCCTGTCCAAAGCTGACCTGGACGCGCTGTCCGGGGTGGTGATGGAGTGATCAAGCTGCGGAGGGTCTCTTCTACAACTTTATTATTATATTTGACGACAGTATGATTAGATTTTAGTTCTGACTAGTGTTTAGATTATATTTGACGACAGTATGATTAGACTGTGTGATTTTATTCATTATATTTGACGGCTGTTGTTTTTAGTTCTGACTAGTGTTTAGATTATATTTGACGACAGTATGATTAGACTGTGTGATTTTATTCATTATATTTGACGACTGTTTTTAGTTCTGACTAGTGTTTAGATTATATTTGACGGCTGTTTTTTACAGTATGATTAGACTGTGTGATTATATTCATTATATTTGATGACTGCTGTTTTTACAGTATGATTAGATTTTATTTCTGACGGTAGCGTCATTAGATTTTAGTTCTGATTAGATTGTGTGATTTTATTCAGCTGTGTGTACAATTTATGAAATAAAAAGAACTAATGAAAACAAATATGCATCATTTTTGCCAACCATTCATCAGAGATGGAGGAGGTAATGAAAAAAGTTTATTTTACACCAGAACATCAGGGTAGTTACGGTGGTGTGGAAAGGTTTAGAACCGGTTTACAACAAGATATTGGGGAGAAAGTTTCATCGGATAAGGCTCGCGATTTTCTCTCAGAACAAGACGCCTATACACTTCACAAACCTGCAAGAGTTCATTTTCCGAGAAATAAGGTTTTTGTCTCAGGGCCGCTAAAACAGTTTCAAGCTGACTTATGCGACATGCAGGCCTTGTCAAAATCAAACGACGGCTTTAATTACCTATTAACCGTCATAGATGTATTTTCAAAGAAAGCCTATGTACGAGCCCTGAAAAACAAATCGGGGAAAGATGTTACAGAAGCTTTTGCTTCAGTTTTGAAAGACAGCGGTGTCCCTAAAAAATTGCAAACGGATTCCGGTAAAGAATTTTTTAATAAGAAATTTGAAGCCCTCATGAAGAAACACGAAATTGTGCATTTTGCCACAGCCAGCAGCGTAAAGGCCAGCGTTGTGGAGAGATTTAACAGGACTCTAAAAGGTAGAATGTGGAGATATTTCACAGCCAAAAACACCCATCGCTACATAGATGTGATTCAAGATTTGGTGAAAGGTTATAATCATAGCTACCACACTTCTATCAAAATGGCCCCCTTTGAAGTTAAC